AAAATTCTGTAAGAACGCTGAAGAGTTTACAAAGAAATATGGTGAAAAGCGACCAGTGGACTAAAATCTGACACAATTGATGTCAGCAACATATGATAGAAGATCGGAGCAGTGCATTTGAGACACCCCGTAAAGCAGGACTCTATGGAAAATTGACAAGTGCCACCTTTCGGTGTTAACTTGTGGCTGTTACTAACTTTCTACAGTTTTCTTAATCAAAAGTGGGCTAGGTAACCTGTAAAGAAAGGATTAAAATTTAAGATGTTCTAGTTCTGCTTTCTTTGTTTAAAAATCACTGCTTCAATATACTTTAAAGTATGCTGTTTTCTTTTTCTTGTCAGAATTTATCAAAAATATCTTAGACTTATATTCTGCCCTTAAATTGAAAAGGTTGTGGCTGTCATTTCTTATTTTTCCTTGCAGTTCCCACTATCTTAAGTTCATTTAATTCTTCATTGGATTTTATCCTCCTCCCCAAACTGATGTCTTAGAAAAAATATCCCAGTTCTGGCAGAAAACGATTGAGTGTTTGGCAGTTTTGTTTACTTTTTTTAAATGTTGCACTGTGCTTTGTGGGACTTGTTCCAAGTTCCCCTTAACTTCAGTTTGTAACATAATAAACAAAAAACCAAACAAACCCCACAAAAACAATCAGAAGTAATGTCCAGGTCTTATGTAAATCTGGCTGATGTTACCACAAAATGTTTATTAAACGGGGAAACCCAAGTTTTTGTGTGTGTGGCTGAATTAAAAGATGGCTTATGTCCTCCTTTTGGAAAACTTTGACAAAAAAAAAAAATCTGTAGCAAAGGAGTAGTGGAATGTGGTCACAAACTTCACTTCTATTTTTAATACCTATGCAGAGTAGCCAGGAAAACGTGCACAGAACAACATTGCAACCAGTTTAGAAGAGTTTTGGAAATTGGGGACCAAGAGGTACCAAAGTGATAAACTGGGGTGGTTTTGGTTTTTTTTGTTTGTTTTTTTTTTTTTTTTAGTTAAAAACTGGTGTTTTGGAAATGTTAACTTTGAATTCGAGTACTAAATCTGACAGCACTGCTAGTCATCCTAGAGCATTTTTCCGTGAGAATGGGTACGAAACATCTGTGTTATGGGATGGCACTTGTGCTGCTTCCCGGCCCCATGGCTGTACAGTTCTTACTGCAAATGGTATGAGAATAGGGTTAGGTAGCAACCTGTAACAGAGTATGCTTCACTACTGTTCCATGGTCCAGAAGTACACAGTTAGATGGTTTAATGACTACTCCAAGTATCATTCTATCATTCCGACTTAATCAGGCAGAGCCGTTTTCCCGTTGCTCTGGGGCATGCCTGTGCATGCTGGAGGAAGCCCTTTCTGCTCAGAACTGAGCATCCTTTGCTGTGGCTCTGTTGCTTTTCTCCTGACTGTCTTCCCCCTGCCCCCCAGTCTAAAGTGTGACTGTAGCTCCACAGTCAAACTGCCACACAGTCAAACTGCCGTCTCCTCCCCATCTGTCAAACCTGGGTATGTTATTGAGTGAATGTAATTACCTCCAGAGATTCTTGGGTACCTGGCAGTACATATCATTTTGATGTGCAGAAAGTTGAATTAGAAAATCCCTCATACCCGGATGGTTCTCTGTACTCCTAAATTTAGTTTTAACACAGCCTCTGCCTTTGCAACCTTTCAGAACTAGTATGTCAAGCGGTAGGGCCTCTTTTGGTTTTAATGTCTCGTATATTTGGTATTTCTTCATTCATCCTTCTTGTCTGGCTTTCATTTCCCATTTAGTGTAAACAATGACAGCCCAGTACCTCACCTCTGTGGAAAGTAAATTTTTTTATAAGTTAGGGAGCTAAGAAATTTTATGTTTAAGTGTTCTTAGACAGATTCTTTGGCAAGTAAATGAAGTTAAACCACATTCACCTTATTTACGGAAACTTGCATTTCCTAAGTGTTTTCAGGCTTGTGAGAGCACTGTCTATTACCAAATTTTCACATCTTTGTGTCTTCATTTGCAGAAAGTTGGTACTGATTTTGTTTCATTCACGCTCACTCTGATTCATAATAAAATAATGCCAAATTATCTGTCAAACTGAAGTGTGTGTAACTTCTGCATCACGTGAGTCACCGTACCTTTCGATCATGTCTGTTGGCATGGAAACTTGCCATTCTCCAAATTTTATTTTAAAAAAACTTGTAGCACTAGTTTGCTGCCCTCGTTACTATGAATGGTATACGTTCTGGTTGTAAGCCTCTCAGGTCAAAGACTGCATTAATTTGAATCGGTGTGACTTGGATGCTGTTGGAAGGGCTGTGTAATGCAAGGAACTCCAGTCGATGCACGCAGGCCTACGGCAGTGCTACACCAGCTATTCCGATTCGATCTGTAAGGGTCACACAGAAGACAGATACCGCTGTCGGTTCTCTTTGTGTGCGCTTCGTAGTTCAACTTCTAAGTGATGAGATGTGTAACTGAAGCGATGGCTTTTGTTTGTAGGCAGCCCTCTGAAAAAAGACAGGTCAAATACTGTACTGTATTGTTCAAGTCTGAGGAGGAAGAAAAAAAAATATCTAAGTACCAAGTCCTCTGTTAACTCAGGAAATCAAGCTTTTGTTCTCTCCGGTTCCCTAAGCCATGCTGAATTCTAAACGTGCAGTTTAATATCCAAAATAAAAACAACATACTGGTGAAATGACACCCAGCAGCACTGGTATAGGCTTTCTGCAATTCCACTCTGCTACCCTAATAAAAATTGCTCTCAAAGGCTTTGTGGCATGGTTTTATTTTCAGAGAGGTGTGGGGTTTAGACTTTTTTTTTTTAAGTATTCTTGTACAATGATGTTTGTAGATAGTGGTCTGAATGTGTTTTTAATTTGAACTCAGTGTTGTCTTTAAAGCTTTCATGGAGCCACTGAGAAACTTCCTTATCGCCCTATGTTTTACACAATCGAAAAGTTCCTTATTTAGAAGTCTTTTAGTAGTGCTTTATTTATTTCTCCATTTTAAACTCCCTTGAATTTAAGAGAAAATTTGGGGTTTAATGCTGTTTGTTTAAAAATATGGAATTTGCAACAATTTTTTTTTGTTTGCGGTACAGAAGTAACTCGGGTAAGGCTGCCGTCGTGTTCGCAGCATTCACCTTGCAGAAGATGCGTACCACAGTCAACAGGTGTGTAACGTCCCGAGGACCGTCATCAGAGCAAATTCACGGGCTAAAATATGGAGCAACTTAAATGTTAAAAATAAGGTTAAGAAACATCCATCAAAATACGGTCACATTACAGAAAGAGAGAGATCTGGTATTAAGTAACTGATGTTGCTGTCAGGCTTGTCCCTGCCTGTGAATAAAGTGTCCTCGGTCGCTAGATGGCACCAACTGTGCTCTGGATCTTCAGCGGCTCCAGTCTCGGGGTTTTTTATTCTCTCTTACCACCCAGCAGGAACTTTGCTGTCAAACGCCGACGGGACAAGCTGCAGAAATGAAGTCATTCCACAAGGTAACTACTGCTCTCGGCTGGCTCAGCTGGGCGCTGGAGCACTTGCACATAACAGTGGATGTTTTGGGTTTTTTTAAAACAAGCTTGTCATATACCATATTAATTCTGTGACAATAATTTATGAAAGAACCTGGAAAAATATTTTTCTAAAGCGTCCTTGATGTTGTTTTTCATATTTGTAGAGAACAAAAACTTCCTCAGATGTTTTATAGGGAAGGTCAAATGCTTCCTGTTAACAGAAAAAGTCTCTGCAGGCAGTCGCAGTCAGAGCAGATAGGTGAGGGGGTTTAGTTTGCTCTCCAGCTGTAACTAAAACCAAAAGCTCCCTGAAGCATTACAACAGAAAAAGGCCTGAGTTTATTTTTCACTTAAAAGAATGATGATCATATTGACAATATTTAAAAACAAGTTAACCAAAAATGATTACATTAAATAGATTGCTTTTGCACAGAAAATGAGCATAAACAATCTAAAAATGGGGTTTTTTCCCCCCTGTGAAAGTCTTACATGAGTGATGGGGCTGCAGTTAAGAACGCAGTTGAACGTATCGGTATCACTAGGGCTTGTTGAAGTTTGAATGCTTTGATGACAGGAATAAAAATGGACAAATATGGGGTACCTTTGCCACGTGAAGACTTGTTTGTGGTTGGTAGGCAGCCATCCTGCTCATTTTTCATGAGGCAGTGGGCAGCGCAGGAGCAGTTGCTGAAATAGCAGATGGGTCAACAGTTGCTGTTCTTGCAAAGTCATCCAAAAAAAAAAAGGGGGGGGGGGAAGAAAAGCCTCTCTGGAAGGGCTGCAGATGATGATATTTCCCTATGGTGGCTTAATGCCAAGAGGCAACGTAACTAGGAAGAGCTGTAGTTACTGCTGGCTGAGGCTGTTCATGGAATATGGCCGCAGACACCACTGAGCAGAGAAATGTGCTGAAGTAATGTGCCCCTCACCATCGATGGGCAGGAACGAGTGGAGGGAAGGACTGTGGCTGCTTTAAAGAAAACCAAATGCTGAAGGTTTCCAGGCCTCCCATAGGCAACCTACACCAGAGCAGTTGCTCCAAAGCAGCACTTGCTCCCGAGCATCTTCGTTTTATTGCAGTTAAGTCCAAAGCGAGAAGTGATCAACACCCTCAGGCTGCTGGTATGCTGCTTGGTCTCACAGCAAAGCCTGTCTTCCTGCTGCTTGCCGGCGCGTTGGCAGGAACTGAGCCCTGGGAGGAGGGCTGGGCCCCGGCTGCCACGCTGTGCTGCAATGGTGCGCAAGAGGGTGACGCAGAAGAGGTTTGTCACGTTCAAAGCAGACACTGTTGCCTAAAAACTGCCAGTCAGGGCTCTGGCGCACTGCCTGTAGTTGCTCACAGGGTGTTGCTCTTCCATGAACATCCTAATGCTGTTCCCAGCTCCTGTCAGCTGTACTGGGTGGCCTTCCAGTGATAACGGTGGTCTGGCTTCTTGGGACATTAGCAACCGCATTATCTTCAGAGTATGAAGAAATGTACATATGTATGCTTGTTGACTTAAAGATCTTTGAATGAACAAAGCTGAATGTTCCTGGTTTTGTAATGACTCTGCAGCTCTGGCTTAATTAATGTCTGGAGTTCATGGAGGCGCTCCCAGGACTGTGAGAAATCATCTGGTCCTTCCCCACAGCCGCCAAGGGACGGGACACTCGGGTACCCTGGATGCACCATCAGTTCAATTGTTACTGTCCTGCTCTGTGGCATCAGGTGGGCGGGCGAGGGTGCCTTGGACGTGAACTCCACGATGGCAGCGTCGATGGCACTCCAGATGTTACTGACAGACATGTTCTTGCCCATGGTGCTCAAGCCTATGTAAATGTCTGGCCACCTGTAGCCAGAGGAGGGAATGCTGATATTAACACTAATGAGGTGGTTAGAGAAGAGTGGGTTAGGAATCAAAATGTTCCTAAAGCTGAAGATAGAAAAGTGGCAGGAGGTAAAACTTTTAAGTATAAGCAAAAGTCAAATCAGAACTAGAAGCCAGTAATGCTTTTTCTTTCCTTATCGAAACCAGGATGCTATTTAGAGCAGTTCTTCAGGCTGGCAGAAAGTCCCAGCAAAGCCCCAGTGCCAGTACTGCTCTTATGACCCTGTTTACACGTGCTGTGTCACAGCACAAGGGTTGTTTGGCATCTGTGAGCTTACAGGTGCATTTTGTTGGCACAAAAGAGAAGAACAGAGCTAAACTGAGAAATGCTATGCTATCAAAATAACTTACTATTGCCAGGCTAATTAAAAGCTGAATAATAACCATCTCTCGATAACAACCCTCAGCTAAGTGGAAACAAAAAAATGACTGAAATAAAATAGAAACCATCCTGCTAACAACTCATTCTGCTAGAATGTATCAAAGAGTCATAATTAAAGACAAAATACTGGACAAAATATCATTACAAAAGACTGTACAGCTTAGAGGCTGTTTCTTACCTAGCATCAACACAACTCTTTGTTCAAGTCTGGCTACAAAACCTACAAATGCTTCTAGCAGGGTGCGTACAAGCCTGGGAGGGCTGTGCAAGCGTATGTGAGGGCAGAGTGAGAGTTTTTGGAAGACATCTAGGCAGGGGGTCTTGATCTGCTTGATCAAGGAAGAGCCTAGCTGAACACTCAGCTCTGACAAGAGTTTGCAGGACTTGGGGGGGGGGGGTGTGGAAGGTTTTTTTACCTGCAAACTGACTAAACTTCCTAACACCTCGTTGCTATGCAGTAAGCAGACTCCTGTGCACTCCAGTGTCATGAACTGAACTCTGGGGGCTTGTTGCAGTACCTCTGTGCAAGGAGGCTGAAATGGAGTTGCAGAGTTGGGTTCCTTGTGACTTCAGCTGACCACACTTCTCATTTTCCGGCATTTCCTCGTGTTGCACGTTTCTTTCATAAGTTTGTCCCTCCTTGCCTCCCCTGACACCAGGAGTCGGGGTGGAGCGTGGTGTGTGTCCCAGCAGGGGCAGCTACAGCTGCGGGCCCACCAGGGCAGTGCTGCGGGGCTATAACCACACAGGCTGCGGGGCAGCCCCGCGAGTTCCTCCCTGCAGCCCTAGAGGGGCCGATTACCAGAGCAGCAGCTTCTCAGAAGTAGATCGACACCGGCCCTGCCCCTTCAGTAGCACAGGGAGCCTGGACCGTGTAGGGTTTCCACTGAACTCCCCTGCACTGTCCTTGTCATGAACTTGCCCTAAAAGAAGGGTTCCGCTGATGAACTGCTCTGTGGGGTGCTGTGCCCTTCTCTCCCTTAGAAATGGGCTGTTCTAGTAGAGACTGTGTGTCCTGGCTCGAAAGAGCACGGTGGAATGCCAGCCTTCTGCTAGTGTTGAGAAAAGCCAAGAAAAGAACTTCAGTAGATAGAGCAAGTAATGAAATCTGCCTCAAGGAACAGGTGACTGCAAGGTTCTTAAGTGAAATGCTTTAATCCATAAAACACTATCTGATTGAAGCTTTTTAGAGAAGTATGTTACTGGGGGAAGGGCTGAGCTTTCTGGGGTTGGCCCCTGAGATGCAGGACACTGACAAGACTGTTTGCTTAGAGTAGCAATCGCCTGCTGCAGCACTGCAAGCTCTCTGAGCTTCTTGCCTCCCCTTAACAACAAACAAAGTTGTTTCTAATTAGCCTCTTTCCTGCCACTTAAAACCCTTTCTCCACTATTCTAGGAAGATGAAAAATTGTTTCTTTAAAACCTTCCCTAGATCTTACTTTTAAAATTGTCGTGTTGATACAGCACTTAAGCCTCCTACAGTCCCAGGTGCCAGGAAGTGCTGCTTCACTAGAAAGGCTGAGAAAACAATCCCTTTCAGGTGGAAATGAGTCATCTCTTCAAACAAATCTGCTTACTTAAGCCCTAGTGCCCCCAGCACCTTTGTACTCCTACTGAACTCTCTTGTAGGCCCTGAAGTGGAAAGACAAAGGTGGTGTTCCATTCTGAAAAGATGCTATCAGGAACTGGTAAGTTTTACTACAAAAAGGATGAGTAATGCCTGTCTTACCTTATTCCATGCCTTGTAAACACATCCACTGTGTTAAAAGAATCTTCTTCTACTCCCAGATAAAAGTCCATGAGGGATGGTGGAATCCACTCGCAGTTATGAAGGCCTGGCTCTATTGGGACACGTGTGTACTTAATCCCATACTCCTCTAACACCTCTGCAAATACGTGCCTGACCTCTGTAAGTAAAAACAGAGTCATTTTAGTCAGGAACTAGATAACCAGCTCATCATGTCCCCTGAACGCTGTTAGCACAGCGAGGTCTTTCCACATTTAAGAAAATACAATTCCATTTGGCTTCTCTTCTGCTGAAATGGGTTTTCTTCATCTGGATGGGAGTCCCCTTCTATACAGGAAGCATTACTCCCTCAGCGTCTGCTATAGGTGCCTTGTCTTCCCTTCAGTGCTGAGCATTTAGTCCAGCAACCCCTTCTAAGTTAGTGACTCAGGTCCTAGAGAGACAGCACTGTCAGGAGCAAGTTCTTCATCAAGTCCCTGCACAGCCAGATTTGTTGCAAGGGTAAATTGCCAAGAGTGATGTCATCCAGAGGCAGCTGAGTGCTGGAGTGGGGAAATCTGTCTTTTTTTGCTCATTCAGTTTCTCATCTCTGCATGCAATGACCTTATTTGCAAAACAGGGACAAAAGATACTTTCCCACCTCTGTAAAGCAGTCTGAGACCTGCAGACAGAGATTGGCATGGAAACGCAGCTGACAGGATGGAGTTCTCCTAGCACCTCAAAGAGCTACCAGCTTTCCCAAGCTCAAGCGTTCCTGTTTAAACTGGCCAGTCTGCTGCTGGCCCTGGCCTGCCTCCTTCAGTGTGTGCAGGAGCATGGAACTCTGCAGACAGCAGAGTTGAAGTGAATTACTGGTCCTTGGAGGAAAAGGTGTAACCTGGGTTATTTGTGCTGTTAATCCCCTTCTGCTGCTACGGGAAGACCCAGGTCACCAAGCAGCCAGTTTGGGCCCAGGCAGGACTGTCTCCCCAGGGCCCAGGTGGGAACATTCAAACTGTAATTGTAGAGCAAGTATTTTATGGTGAGGTTTACTGCCCAAACAGGGAGCCACAGCAAGGGGAGTCTCCTGTAAGCTGACTCTTAACTCTTACCTGCTTGGTGCTGGGAAGAAGAGGACTCCCCTCTTACCTGGGAGGACGTGAATGTGCTGGTGTCCATCCATGTGAGGAGGTAGGTGACCTGTCAGCTTATGGAACAGCTCCACCTGGGCCTTTAGCTCCTGCTTCACCTGCACAGCGGAGATGGGTCAGAGCAAGACCTGTCAGCAGGCTGAGGTCTGGAGCGTGCAAGGGGGCTGCTGGAGACTTTGCTGGCCGGTACTCGGGACCTGGCCCTGGGAGGCACAAAGTGCCATGATGTATAAATGGACATACAATACTGCTGGGCTGCCCAGAACCGCCCCCAGGCGTGAGTCTGTTATGGTACTGGTTATGCGGATGGTGCTGATACTGGAATTTTCTAAAATACATAGGATATTTGAATACTTATTTCCCTTTAAAATTAACGGGGAAATGGGTGCTTATATCCCATAGGCAGTTTTGATCACATGAACATATTCATCCTTATTCATGGGGCAAAACCAGCTATTTCCCTAGAGAACAAAAGCCTTTCACAAGGTGATGAAAAGCCTACTGCCTACTTAGCACTTCTCTGGCATCTTCCCTTTACTGATCTCTAGGTTCTTTGTAAATATCTGTTCCAATGCCTCTTTTGCCCTTTCAGATAAGTAGTTAATAGGGCATTAGTGTCTGCAGGCACTGAAGCAGGGAGGAATGGGTTCTCAAAGGCTGCAGAGCCTTTGGCAGAATTAGGCCCAGGACCCAGAAAGGCAGCTCCAGCTGCCCTAATTCATCTCCAAGCTTACTCACAGTTGGGACCTGGGGGGGAACTTCAGCTGTTATGTGCTGGCGTAAGTGCAGGCTGAGCTATATAGAAAGCAAGTGGCATGGCTGTATGTGGCTTTCTCCTACCTCTGACATATTCAGGAGACCTTTTGAAAGAGCTGTTCTGAATCCCATTTTCCCGTGGAAAAATCCATGTTGGTTGAGCAGAGAAGAGTTTGTCTTGAGCACCTTGCACACAGGAGAGCCCTCGGAGAGGTTGGCATGCAGGCCTATTGGGATATTATATCTGTAACAGGAATGAAATATCTGTCGAGCTTTGCACCTCTACCACCCTTACTGTGGCCAAAGGGACAGATGTCAGTGAAAGATCTAGACTGATCTAAAAAGTGGTGGTGTACTCATGGGAGTACATCTTTGATTCCCTGCTCCTCTAGAAAGGAAAGCAGATTGACGCTAACCAGAGCAGGATATCTCCTGGTAACAACCCTGTGCATTCTGCCACGGGCCAGTCTCGGAGACTCCCCCAATTCTGTTGTCACCCTGACTCATGTGGAGAGGCAGCTGCAAGGTATCTTGGGCTAAATGCTATAACTGCATTAAAATGCTACAGCTGCACTAAATGCTGTAACTGCATGCTACTAGTAACTGCCCTGCAGTCACTAGTGACTAATGGAGAAATCTGAACCTTGCAACCCTTTCCTAAAGCACTTCATTAGCCCTTGCTAGGTATTCCCTTGAGTTGTTTACCCCATTTAAAGATGCTACATTTATGAGACATTTGAGTTTTGCTTGTCAGCTTCTAGAGCTGCCCTTAAGTAGAATCCAGCCATATAAAAACAGTGCCCAAGGCAGCCGTTATGTCAACAGCATAGGCTACAACTGTAAATACTGTCTGAGTTTAAGGGTTTCCTGGTCCAAGAGGATGCAGCTGAAATTGCCCGCAGTGTCCAGGTTTCTGTCTACTGGTGCAGATGATCACCCACCGAGTGACAAGGCTGAGCTGTACAAAGTAGCATCTCTGTGGCACAGAGGAAGGATTACTGCACCAAGGTTGGCAGTCTAAGTGTGGAGCCTTGCTAAGGAATCACAAGGGTCCAACTTGTTAACCAGCTGCACTCTGAAACATTAAAAAAAAAAAAAAAAAACAAAACCCAAAACTGTGGAGCTAGAGTATCTGCAGAGCTCCTCCCAGCCACAGCGCTTTGCAAAGTGCTGGTGTTCCCTTGTTGGTCTGTGCTATGGATTCCCCTACCATAAAAACAGGACCTGTGAGTGCTCAGATCTGTGCTGAGTTTCATTAGCATTTCTGGAAATCCTCAGAATCAGTGGCCAAAATGATGCTTTGAAACTTTTTCCAAGACAACCCCTGGCGTCTGGCTGACCCAGTAAGTAAATGACAGCAATGTTCCTTCTGTGCTGCCCAGTCTGAGTCACGATGCAGAGTTAATTTCAAGGCAACAAGTCTGTGATGCTTTAAATTCTTCCTGGAGATTCTGCATGGAGTCTGTCCCTGTTACAGCCCTTGCACCTCAAGAAGGAAAACAAAAGCAATCTCCATTTAGGCCAAGTGTGCAAAAAACAGATCTTCCCCTTCCGTCTGCTGCCCTGAAGCTGACTAGTGAAGCACCAGGTTACTGGGGACAGAAGGACTGTGGATGGATCAGACCAAGTCAGTCATTTAGCTCCCTCAGGTCCCAAGGCTTTGACCCTTGCAGGACTGAAAGTCCTTTTTTCCTGGCTCCTCCATGTCTTGTGCTCCAGGTGGATGGTGTAGTCTGTTGCTAGATACTGCTCCTCCTCAGAGACATACATGTTATGAGTGAAGTTGTACGGACAGCTCTGTGAAACAAAACGAGTCTGTGTCTTTCCAGTCCACTGTGTGATTAGGGAGCTTAAATGTTTGCTTGATGGAGCAAAACAGCTTGTGGAGAGAAAGGTCCTCTCTGGCTTTTCTGATTTGGTGATTTCTCTGCAGCACAGCCTGATGGCATAATTGATGATAAATGTTCATCTGGTTTTCATACAAGGGGCCTGAGCACGTGACATGTGCACACACACTGCTTGCTAATACAAGAACTGGAAGATGCTGTCATTGGGAGTGGGGGTCCTTAAGCAGGCAGCTGATGGCAGAGCAGGAGGCAGCTACAGTGCGGGAGGGGTTCCCCTCCATTCTGTGTACCCTGCATGAGCTCAAAGGCAGAAGGGGGGGGGGCTGTGGTTTTGTTTTGGTGGTGGGTTTGGGTTGTTGTTTTTTTTTTTTTCTTTCAGAAATCCATCCCTGATTCTTTATCATGTCTCTGGGAAGCTCTGACTGCATCAGCTGATAGCATTATTTGTACCACAGCCACTGCTGTCTGCAAGAAAAAGGATTCATGTGTTACCATGAATCAGCAGATGGAAGACTTTTTGTTGAGCACTCTCCTTCTCATGTGTTGTGGGAGGGCAAGAAATGAACAGCTGAGCCTCTCAGCTTTGTCTCCCAGGGGCATTGAATGAACTACCTCCAATTGTGCGATGCCTCAAGTGCTGCGAGGGAAGCTATTTCCAGGAAAAGGCAAGCCCCTCCGACAGGTGTGGGACACCAAGGAGCCAAGCACTGCACTGCGTAACATTAGAGCAGCTCCTGCGCCTGAGCTGAAACCAGCCCCAGAGCTGGGGAATGTGCAGAATGTGGAAGTGCAGAGAGAGCTGGCCTTGTTCTCACTGTAAGGGGAGACTCCGACTGTAACATTAGAGCATGTTTCGGAGCTTTGGCTAACACCAGCTGAATATCTTAATAGTTTTCTCTTGGAGTTCGTCCTGGCTGGTTTGACAGACTGTCCATGCTGAGGCATCTGAAGAGGAATCATTAGTGTTTAACAGCTCTGGGATACAGGCACTGAAACCAAAACTCAAAACGCAGCATGTGAGAAACTTGTTCAGAAATATTCATCTGTGGGAGATGCACAGAAGCAGGCATGCTGGGAAAGCTGTAAGGATATGGGAAGGAGGACAACGCAGCGGGCACAGCAGGGTTCTGCTGCTAGCTAGCGTTTTCCTGTACCTAAATATGTGTTTCCTCTGGATGCAATGTGCCAGACGATGCTCGTATTCAGCACCAAGTGTCCTGCTGCCTGGTATTCATTCCTAACAGTCCTGACACTGCATGAGTAGCTGAAGTCCTAATTGCAATTAGATGAAAACATGAGCAAAACTTAAAGCTTTATAGTAATCAGCTGGGCTGTACCTTGGGAGACAGGGCTCCAATCATGCTCTGTCTCTACCAGAGGCCTGAGCTTTAAGACTGAACCAACAGGCTTTTTTCCCCACTGACTACTACCCACACTGGATTAATTCTTGCTCCCCAGTGCCTCTCATGACTAAAATGTAGCTTCTGCAACCAGAGAGCAGCACTAAGGCATGCTATTATGTAAAATAGGTGGGGAGAAAAGTCAAGTTATGGGAATATCCTGGCAGGGCCCTTTTTTCAGAGGGCAGATTATTGTTTCTGCTACATGAACATACTTTATAGTTGCCTGCATCTTTTCAAAGACTGTAAATTATCTGCTGTTTTATTGGCTGAAATATCGAAGCAGAGACAAACAGCTCAAGCAGCTTACATAGCATGTGATGCCACACTGGGAACAGAGCTGAGCTATTGTGGGTTTGGCCTCATACCTACTCCTCTGCCTAAGCCCTTGTCCTTCATAGACGGGACAGGGTGAGCTCTGCCGATCACTGCCAGTAAACTGCTAATTGCTCCACCAAAGATTCAAAGTAAAAGGGCTTCAAGCAATGGTTTAGTTTCTGCAATAAAAGTAAAGTACTGCAGTAACAGCTACTGTTGCCAACACAAAATGATGCTGAGGATCTCTAAACTCATTTTGGTGGTTGTTTTAAGCAGCCATGACCATTCCACAATCTGTTTTGAGAAGTCCACATCTAGGTGTTTGCAAGTCTGTCCCACTGCCCTGGAGAATGCACAGATGTGAAGCAGGATTTAGTACAAGGATTCGGTTCACTCCTGATAAAGCCAAAGGACAGCGTTTACAAATGTGTGCTCCTATAGCATAAGCAGCATTAGACCAGGCTGTCTGTGAGCTTGTTGAGAAGAGGTTCAGGCCAGTAGCTTCTGCAGCCACTAGGGTTAGTCCATTCCGAGAAAGCTGGCTGTTAAAGCCAGCCTGGTTCTTGTGGTTCTCTGTTCAGGATTCGCTGTAGAGGTGGGGGGAGGGACAAAAGCGGGGGGGAGGGAGAGGGGTGTACAACAAATGCTACAAGTGGCAACAGGAATTCAGTCTGGAAAGATTCCTGAGTCAACAAACAAGCCCAGCCCAGTTACCAAATAGAGAGAGGAAATACAATCAGCTAAACTGCTTCCTTTTCAAGTAGTTGCTTGTTTTGCCACACGAGTGCTCTGAACAAATGTCTCTGCTGAGGCAATGGGCTTTTGTGCAGTTGCAATCCCTGTTCATTCATATCCTTAGCAGTAAAGGGCCCCTGGAGACGGTTACTATACTGAGTCACTCTTTCAAGTGCCCAGCAGCTTTGCACATTTCTGAGCTTGGTGGATGAGTAACATCCTGGATCCTGCCTGGCCAGAGTGTGGACTCTCTGCAGTCCCTGTGTTCCTGGGAACAGTTGCAGTGGGAATTACGTGATTCTCTGAGCCTGGTTCCAGTTGCCTTGCTGAAGGCTGCACGCTCTGGCACAAGCATGGCACTTACCCTTTTTCTTGATGGGTAAACAGATCCCACCTTCAGCATCCTGCTTGTATCCTTATCTGGGGGGGAAATTACTGGTTCCTCAAGTTTCAGCACAAGTGTGATGCAATTAAGAGCCTCGTGTAAATATCTGTATCTAGGCATTCTGCTTCAGTAAACATCCAAAGACAGAGAAAGCAAGGCTGTGCTTTGTGTGAACAAGTACACCTCTTTGTTTCTCTATGTTGATATTTTCATACTTTTTTCCCCCCACCACCACCTCTTTCACCCTTCAGCAAACTGTACATCTAACTGTCTTTCATCAGCTAGCAACTTGTCTTGCTCCATTACTGCTAAGGACTTATTCCTTCTGGATGAACACTCCAAAACCTCTGCAGTGTTAAGAACGGGTACTGTAACATAGCTTAGGGATGTGACTTTCTTTTTAATTACATCTTTGTATCAACTGAAGCTCCTGTGTCCATGACCTTACGTCAGCAAAAAGTACTGCTGCCAGTAAAGTTAATATGATTGGGGATTCTAGTTTAAAGCCTCAGGTTGAGCCCCACCCCTAATCCAAACACAGTTCAGCAGTGGAACTGTCTGCCTTGTGATTCACAGTCAGATAAAAGGGTGATAAGAAAGCATGAGAGACTTCTAGATTAGTCAGATGTTGACTGGGAGGGTCAGAATTAAGTCACAATTTACACACACATTTTGCAATTAGTGTTGATGGGAAAGGAAGTGAAAACATAGACAGCAACTAAATGTGGTTTTGTTAGATTCTTCTGTTAAATGTAGCCAGATGTTGTGGGGGTTTCAGCTTTTGGGTAGCTGATGTTCAACATTCAAACTGCAAAAAAAACCAAGAAGACTGAGGTTGTGTTCTAAAATACATCACTCTTCATCAAGTATTTGAATATAATCATCTGGAAAAGGGTCCTAATACTCAGTCACAATTGAGCTCGTTGATAAAAGGGAGCTAAAATATGGTGGCAAACAATGTTAGGTCTCTCTATATCTGCTATCTCCATATTTCTAAGGAAAAAATTGAGGGACCTATTTATTTCAGGTAACAAAATAACCTTTCCAATCTCTGAAAAAGGCTCTGGAATAAGCACCAGGAAGACTGACTTCAATGTGGGGCTTGATAAGTAGAAAATCAAGATTATATTATATGGATAACCAGGAAGTCACAGTCAGTCTATGTCCCATAAAGAGAAAATTTTTTTAGTTACTGAAAAAAAACCTGCAATGGAACTCTCTTCTCCCGCTTGCTGTTCTGGTTATGTACTGCTGTAGCAGTTGCTATCAATAGGTCTGTCTGGCGATGAATCAGGCCTCTGCTGAAACTTCTCTTGTGCCTGAAGTGAGTGGGTCCCTCCTTTTATCCCAGTTGTGACAGTGATTGAGAAAAGCCTAAGGTCCAGAACCTAGATGTTAGGGAAGGTGTATTATTTACTGCCTGGTTCTGGTGTTTTGCAATTAGTTTTTTAGAACTGGTACAAAGATCTGCTGACTACCATCACATTTCTGCCAAGGCTTCTAATCAAAACACAGGACAACAGATGGTATACCCAGAAGACTACAGAATTATTGTGAAAATGAAGGGAAGAATGAAACTCCAGAGAAACTGTGTTCCTGTCTGAAGGATGCTGAGTCCTAACATTGCAGGGCAGCATGAGGTGCTTGAGAAGGACTATCCTGAAAAAAAGTTGTCTTGTCACTAATTAGCTCTGCCTGTGTCCAATTAACTGAAGACGATGTAAGGAGAGAGAGCACAAGACCTGCAGTGACGAGCAACCATGTCATAGACAGTTAATCAAGAAGCACACAGATAATTTCCACAAGCCATAGAAACAGTTGAGGACTCTGACAATTCTGGCACCATGTGTGCAAAAGACCAAATCCCACAACACTGGAATGCACCACACGAAAGAACAAGCTACTTGCTTCAAGCCTCTTCTCAGCTGGTGATAGATCCTGCCTCCCTGCTTACACCACTGTCTAGTCAAGGCTGAAATGTCTTCTATGGAGTTAAGCATATATGCATGTGTATATATATAGTTGTTGCTTAGTTGAGTGTCTGGGGGGGGAAGACAAACATGGGGAGAAAAAACCAGGGCAGACTTTCATTCCATAAAACACAAAATGTTGCAAAGCCTCAACATTCACAGTAGGATGGGAGAAAACAAGCAGGAGAAAGAGGGAGAAACAATGGCAAGGCAGTCAAGCAACAGTGATACTTTCCCACTTTTACACCACAAGATGAGGATTCAATGACATTTCTAGTAAGTCTGACCTATTAGATATCTGTGTCTAAAAAGTGTTTGCATGAACCTTTGCAATCGAGGAATAAATGTATCGGGGGTGACACAGAGTTTGTGTACATGCACAGGTGCCAATTTAGTGCATGTGTACTAGCAGCACCCGAAATAGAACTTGCATTAGAAGATGACAACCCCTTTTCCCCAAACCTGTAAATGCTTCCCCCATGAGTGGTAGGGCTGAATACAGCTGCAGAGAGTTACACAAATGAGGAATTGCAGAACGTGGGCTGTTGTCCTTCAGTGCTGACAGATGTTCCCAAAGTCACCCTGCTTATATTCTCAGAAATAGATTTAAATCCATTTAATTTACATTTACAATTCAAAACTACCCCCCAGAAAATAAAATTGTAGCAGCAGGTTGCAGCTTCTGCTGTCACCTACCCTCCAACCTGGCTTTTCACATCCGTATCAGCTGTCAGCACAAGTGTCACGACCTGGATTCAAAGATGCTTTTCAAACCTCTGATTACATGGCCTACTTTCTGGCTATGGAAATGAGGCCAGGTGGATTCTATATTTAAAAGCCTGCTAAAGACCATGGCTAAAATAGCTGACAATATTACCAGAGCACTGGGGCTTAAAGGGTTTCATGGCGCCTCTGTGTCTGAAAGAAGTGCTGGTTTTTATCTCCTTGTTTTACATTTCATTTGTTTCATTTACTAACAGGATTTAAGACATCTCAAGTGTTCTGTCCGTCTGACTCTTCCCTTATCATCCCAGAGGCAGTTCCTCTCTCAGTCTTTATGTGTAGCCTCTAACCTTTCTAACAGAAGACCAGTTTGCCACTAATGCTACACCCTGCCTTTCCTGCACCACCCAACACCAAAGAAGCTACAGGCTGCAAAGAATTTCCAAGTACCCCTAAAATCACAGACAAAATCGGGAGAGATGCTCAAGAAGAAAAAGGACAGCATGACTCACATGAAACTGTCCCCTGCAGCAGCTGTATTTGAAGCACAAGATCTCAGTTCTTCTAGTACCAGTATAGCTCTTTTCCTTTTCTGCTTTCCTAAATTATTTCTCAACCCTGCTGCTCTCTCTTTCAGAACACTCCTGCTTCCAAGTCCCTGACCACACTGGAGCTGAAGCATTAGCTGGATTTTACCTTCTAAACACAAGTAATACTTCCTATTAAAGGATTTGCTGAGCTAGTCCATGACATATAGCATTTGATCTGCTACAGAGCCAACTGTGCCAGCAACCTCTGAAAAGCTCATGAAGGAGTAAAGGTGGTAGGTACAAGACAGATAAAAGGTATTGTCCCTCTCTTTATGTATGCAGTTTTTACAAATGGATTTATCAAGCCTAGAATTAATAAAAATATGGAAGTTTTTTTTTTAAAGGTTTCTGGCGTGGAAAAATCAGGTTTTCCACTGCCTAAATTTATAAATTAGCCCTCATGGAATCATACCTTTCCCCAATTCTACAATGAACCTGGCTGACCCTGTGTCCAGCCTGTCTGAAATGCATCAAATTAAATGAGATTTAAAAATTTGTGCTTTTATGCTCTAATAGTTTTAGGGGTAGCAGCTTGGCCTGGGTATATAGTGTGGACTTTCATTCCGATGGTGCATCTTTCAGAACTGTGGGAAAAAGAAAGTCCAACAAACCCAAACACTACTAGTCAAATTGTGAAAGTGGCTTTCTATCCCGAGGGAAAAAGGGTGCAGTGCAATGGCTAATACCAGAGAAACAGCCATTATGGACATGGTTGGCAGGTCACTGGTTTTACTAAGAAGTCTTAATAAATATGCCTGGAAACGAGTTTTCTTATACCAGAAAGGGTATAAAATATGGGGTATGATACAGTGTTTATACTGGGGCTACAAAATACTGAATTTTACAAGCTTGGCTTTCCATGGATAGCCTGCGGAGGCTGCCCACAAAGGAGCTAAAGAAAGTAGCTTACCTCCTTGCCAGCTTGGCTGCATCTGCTGCAGCACTTCCGTTGACTAGAAGGGACACATTAGACACCGCACCAGCCAGGAAACAGTCCACGATGCCTTGGTTCCTCCGAGGACAATAGCCAAAGTCATCTCCAGTTACTATTAGCTTCACCTGAAGCATCCTTAGAGGTCATCCCTAGCAAAAAAGTAAAGGAGGGAAAATCGGATCAATCAGCAGTCTGCAGATCACAGACAAACAGGAAAAGACAGGCTCAACAGGGGCAAACCCAGCCGTGACTCAGCCCCTGACTAACTTCTCATGCTC